GCCAGCTTGTGCCTTGCATTTAGTCAGGCCTGAACAGCTTCATTTCCTTTCATTAAATGCCTCTTTTAATCACCCAGGGGCTAGGAGGCAGCAGAGCAGAGCCCTAACACTACATTGCTGCACAAGATGGCTAGGATTTTTGTGCCTCATTTTCCCCATCTGAAGAGCTGGAATTACCCTTCCCCACAGCACAGGGAGGTGGGAACCTCAGAAAGACAACCTTTGCTATGTGGGTGAAGGACTTTTCCCAGGGCTGGCAGCAGTGGGTGAATTTGCTGAGCAAGGATGAATTTGCTCATCGAAGGGCAGATACTCTTGGTGTTAGTCCAGAAGGAGATCAATATGGAGAAAGAGAGGAAAATAAATATATTCAATCCAGACATCCCCTTCCTCCCTCTTCTTAAATAAGTAAATGAGGGGAAAAATCAAGTCCCCAGTCCCCAACTTATTTTCAGGCCCAGGCAATCGGGTATCCCAGCTGGAGCGCACACAAGCCAGCATTCTAAAAATGCCTTTCTCGCGAACGTAAAAAGGATGCAAGATAATTCTTTGGGGGAAGATTTGTAATGTAACAGCCCAAACAAGAGAAGCCCCAAGGCTACCACTGCTCCCTTCCCCGGAGCCCCGTGTCTTGCTCAGTTCTGGTGGGCTTGGGCTGCATCGGACCCATCCTTCTCCCCACATCACCCTCTGCAAAGGGACAAATTGATTTCCTATATAACGGTGTCGGCAGAGCCAAGGCAAACTAAAAATGGTATGCTCGTTCAACAGCTCCAGTGTCCGCGGCGCAGCCTGCCAACCCAAACGTGCATCAATCATCCACCAGAGCCCATCAGCGTGGGGCTGATGGAGTCCCACCAGCATGCTGCCAAGCACCCTGCTGGGTCATTTCCTGGGATCTCAGCTGCACACGGACGGATGAGTAGGAACCCCAGGGAGTGCTGAAAAGCTGGAAACAGAGTGACCCCCCCCCCCCCCTTCCCCAGCCCAGCCCTCGGACACACACTGTTCCTTCACAATTGTTGTCTGGATCCGATCAGCCCCCGGGATGGTGGTATTGCTAGAACAATAGCTCACATCTGGATGGGTTGTTTTCCCTGAAAGCATCTGGGCTCCTACAGCTGCTGGGCAGGGACTGCTGCTCCCGCTCACACGCGGATCGGGTTGTCCTCCTGCACAGCCCCAGCCACCCTGGGGCACCGGGCAGGTCTCTGGCAGTGTGTGCTGCTCTTCCCTTTGCCAGCTCGAGATGGAGGTGTTACATCCTCCTTCTCACAGCTTCGGATGCCCTGAAAGCCCTCTGGGACGCTCAACTCATAGCCTGATGTATGATGAAGTTTGGGAGATCTCTCTCCGCCAAGAGCCTGGAAGAGGGGCCAAACCAGAGAGACCAGCACATCCAACCCCTGTAAGAGACAAGGACGGACAACCGCATCCCACGGCAGGGAAGGAGCAGCTCTCACAGCAGACAAGAGATCAGACTGAAGAAATAGGACGGCTAAGCAAAGAAAACACATCCCACGGGGAAGGCGAAGGCAGCAGTTGGAGGCTGAGGTGAGCAGCCCCCCAGCAGTACCTGGGGGTGACATGAGTGCAGACACACCGCAGGGCTCAGGAAGTCACACTGACTTTGTCACGTTATGAACAAGCACCTCGGTGGACATCCTGTCCTCAGGATGCAACAACCAAGGACAATCCCATGCATCTTTGCCAAGTTTTGAAATTAGTAATCAATGGGAAGAGCCCAGAGAGAGTGGGCTCTCTTTCCCATTCAGCTTTTTTATGAGCTCAGTCTGACCTCTCTCATGAAACTTTAAAGAACCCACCAAGGAATCCATCAGGCTCCAGCAAAAAGCCCTGTTAATTACTGCACCTGCCCAGCCCCAGTGGGCCTACCAGCCTCGGGAAGTGGCCACCAACACCAGTATTGCTACCTTTGGGGTTCCCTCTGGGGTTCCCAAGATGCCCGTCTCCTCACCACCATGCTTACAACCCCCAGACCTGAGCCCAGCACTTGTGGGCTGCTCGCTATGCTGGCTCAGGTTTCCTGTAGCAAGGAAAGGAGAGTTGCTGAGTGATAGTTCATCCTTGGGGTCTGTCCACAAGAGACATTCGGTGAGGTTAATCTGGATTAGTGCTTGAAGAAACTGCTTAAACAGCAGGAGGCTCCCAACAGCCCTAACCCAATTAAGCACCTCTCCCTGAGGAAGGCAGGCTGGCTAAACCCGCATTAAGGCCCATCAAGCATCCTGTTGATGAGATAGACCCTAACATCACAGCTGTGGCCATCCCAGAGGAGGCAAAACTGAATTTGCTACTCTGGAAACAAGGGGTTGGTAAGAGGGAAGGGAAAATGTGGGGCAGGGAGCATGCTGGACAGCCCCATTGAAGCACTTCCCTTTGGCTTCCTAGCCCACAGGGCTCTTTGTGCCTGTGGTGCCCTGAATTGGCAACACCTCCACCGCCAATGCTTCTGCTTATTGCGTTATTTCTGTTCCTTCTGCTGGTACCCAGGCTGCCCTCCAGTTGCTCTTTTCACACACACTGTGTCGCACACCAGGCTCACTGAGTAACTGCCCGAGGGGGGCCCACACTGAGCGTTAATTGCTGTTAATGAGTTGTTGCTGCTTTCCTTCCTAGAGCGCCAATTACAACAACACTTGAGCTCTGTAAGAAGACGATGTCTGCAGCAAATGAACGCAAACTTACTCCAGAACCCTCGCGTTGCACTGGCAGCAGCTCCTGGAAAAGCAGGAGGAGCTGGGTGCAGGATGACAGCGGGCAGCTCTCCTGCTACATCTGTCCCCTTGCTCTTTGGATGGTCAGTCATGTCCTTGACTTGCTGCCCACATCTCCTGCCATGGTCATGGGAAGGGCTCAGTACCACGGTCTGGCTGTGTGCACACCAACACTGCCATGGGTTCAGCACGGCTCCCTGCCCCACAGCTTTGCCACTCTTCCTTCCAAGCCTCATCTGCCTGCTGTGCTACTGATATTGGATTACACCATGCATGGCCAATATGCTGGGACCAAACATAGCTCTAGAAGCATGCAGAGGCTTCCACCAGCTGAGAAGCACTAAAGCTGCCTCTGCTCTCTCCAGCAATCAGATTAGCCTCTCTCAGAGATGCAGCCGTAGAGAGGTGAGGGCTATTCTAAGATGGCAAAAGCTTTTACACGTGCATAACGTCATGCAAGCCAAGGTACTGGGGCCCTTCACCAAAACAACAGCATCTGTCGACAGCTCTAAGTAAGAAATTGTCCAGTGTCTCGCGCTGACTTTCTCCTTTGGATTATTTTTGGCAGTGCTGAGAAGCATTCGCATCCAAACCACTGCTTTAGAGAGCCTTGAAATAAAATATGGCAGAGCTGATTCACCGCGCTGAAACCCCAAAGCTCCGTTGTGCCACCTTGACCCGAAAGGAGTCGTCCAACAATGTGTTTCCCCCTTTCCATCTCCATTAAAGACAACACAAGGCTGTCCCCAGCCACTGCTCTTACCTCCAGGCACCTGGCTCCTGTCGCACTGCCTTTCCTCAGTTTGTTAAGTTTTATTTTCTGTTATTCCTCCCGTTTTGGCTTCCACCCTAAAAATCCTCCTGCAAGTTCCCCAGCTGCCCCACTCCTCATAAACACTCATTTAACCATAATGCTTTATGGCCAAATGCCTGCTTGTGTATTTTGGGATTAATCCCCTGACCCGTAGGAAGGGCACCAACCCAACCAGCTCCCCTCACCTCTCCGCTTCCTATACTCACACTACAAATCTCCCATGGAACAGCGGGATGCAAATTCAGGTTGTACCTACCCCAACCACTGTGGGAAAAAGAGCTCAGGAGCTCAGCAGCAGGAGGATCGTAGAGTCATAGAATCTTAGGGTGGCTTGGGTTGGAAGGGACCTCAAGGATCATCAAGTTTCAACCCCCCTGCCGCAGACAGGGTTGCTAGCTGCTAGATCAAGTACTAGATCACATTGCCCAGGGCCCCATGCAATCCATGCCCCAGATTTCCCAACCACCATGCAAGATGGGTTTCCCTTTCAGAGATTTGCCTACAGTCCTGTCTTGTCTGCAGGCCACTGAGGGCTGCGGAAAGAAAAATTGCAAAAGTTCTGTTATTTCCGTAGTGTTCCCATTTTCCCACAGAAGCAAGGTTTTTGTTTTGTTTTGTTTTGTGCGTCGGTTTTTCGCTTTGTTTTGTTTAGTTTTGTTTCTTTCCCAACTTTCAGGGGAAAATCCTGACAAATGGAAGCCCTGATTCATACCAGCAAAAATTCAGCCTTTTTAAATTTAGGTGGAGCCCTTCTTGTCTGAGGATGAAAACATTCCTCTAGCTGTACATAGAGAGTGAGGACAGAGCCTTGGCCATGTCTCCATTAAGTAGCAAAGCCTCTTCTGGTGGCCAAGTGGCAGTGGGCGGCCACCCTGAGCAGCCACGTGGCAGGCAGCAGAACCGCTCACCACACCAATAGTGAGGAACAAGAAGATGGGCACAGGCCATCAGATTTCATCCCAGGGTAGGAAAACATCTAGGGGTCGCGTCTGGTGCCATGGCTGAGGGGGAAGCACTGAGAGAAGGGCTCCTCCTCCTCCCCCTGTGCTTCCTTAGATGGTGAGAAAAGCTCAGGAATGGATGAAGACACCCATTGCCACAGTTCTGGTTATGGGCACCTGCTTCCTACCTTCCTGCATTCCCACTGGGGATCAGGAGGTGGCTTGGGAATGAAGACGTGTTTGTAGCAACAGCCCAGCTGCTCCCACAGCATGGAGAATAGAAAGGAAGGAGAAAGACCAGAGGAACTGCACATCCCTTGAATGTTGCTCTCCCTTGGGGAGAAGAGCGATGTATCCAGAGCCTGCATGACAGCAGCTGCCCCCATGTCCTAGGGGGCATGCACAGAAGCTCCATGCACAGAAGCTCCATGTAAAGCATTTTGCACCCACAGTACCCACAACATCCCCAGAGAACCCGCACAGTTCACAGCCTGGCTCCCTACGTACCTGTATGGCGAGTCAGGGTCGAAGCAGGTCCTGGTGACATCGGTAGCCCGTGGGTCACAGCAGTCGCCATCATCGAAGTCATCCAACATGTTGTTGCACTCCATGTGGCAAACACCATCGCGGCGCTTCCAGGAGAAGCAGCGCCCGGGTCGGCGGCAGTCCCCGCCATCATAGCCGGTCAGCGGGTGCTCACACTCGGGGTCGCAGCGCTCGTTGCCCACCTTACTGGGCTCACAGCCCAGCAGAACGGCACGGCGGCGCAAGGACGAGTTGCGCACCTCCAGCAGGCTGAGCTGCCACGAGATGTTGTAGGGGCGGAAGGCTTCGCTCAGCGCCCGGTGCTGCCGCCACACCTGCTCACGGCTCACCGTCGGCCGCCCACCGCTGTCCTCGGCCAGGCTGACCACGCGGTACCGCACCACCTTGGCACCGCGCAGCGGCCAATGCCGGTTGTAGTGGGAGACCAGCTCCACGTTGTCGCACGCTGTCTGCCCGCAGGCTGGAGGACCGAATGGATGGAGGATGGGGGGTACGGCGGGAGGCAGGACCCGGCGCCGGGGGAGCGAGGCTTCGCGGAACGGCACCCACTGTTGCTCCAAGGCATCCAAGCCGGTGGCCAGCACTGGGGAGCCACTGGGCACCCCTTCGAGGAAAGATCGCTGAAGCTGCGCTTGGGGCAGCGCGTCCTGCCACAAGGCCAGCCCGGCCACGTGTCCCCGAAAAGCATGAGCGTCCCCCCAGGCGTCCCCTCCCAGCAGCAGGGTGCGGCAGGAGGCCATGAAGGCGCTGTGCAGGGGCCCTCCCTGCCCATCAGCGCGGCCCACCTGCACCCCGTCCACATAGAGGGCCATCCAGCGCCCGTCATAGCTGGCGCTCAGGTGGGTCCAAGTGTCCGGTTGGTAGCGGTGGGACCCCGTCACTTCGGTGGCAGCGGCCGCTCGGTCCGTGCGCAGGGAGAAGAAGAAGCGGGCGTCCTGCTTGCCGCCCAGGCGCAGGGCACGGATACCCAAAGCCCAGCCCTTACTGCTGGCCGTGTGTGAGCAGTTGTCGAAGACGCCTGCAGAGGGGATGGGGTTGGAGAGAAAAGAGGGAGGTGGTGAGGAGTGGAGAGCATCGCTGCTCTGTGAGCATCCTTGTGGCATGCCACTGCCTCCCGCACTGAGATGACTCTTAGGGTTATGGAGCACAAAAGAGCAAAGCACACATCATTGTGCTTCTGTGTTCTGGGGAGAAGGAGCAGGGGAGGTTTTCACAGTCATAGAATCACCAAGGTTGAAAAGACCTCCAAGATCATCCAGTCCAACCACCCACCTACCTCCAATATTTCCCCACTAACCCATTGGATGAGACACAGGCAAATGAAGGTGCACAGGGTCCGGGCAGTGGGCACTGCTCATTATTTGAGTGAGCAGGTGGAGGAGTCAGGAGGGAAGTCAGAGCTAGGGAGGCTGGGTGGAAAGGGCATGAAGAGCTGAGCCAGTTGGAGAGGAGAGGCCAAAGAGAAAGACATTTCCATAGGAGCGTGACTGCAGGCTGTGGGGTGAGACACTGCGCTTTCAAGAATTACAGTATGTCAATCCAAAGCAAAACATCCTGGGTTCCTAAGTCTCCAAGATATCTCAACCTTCCATCTCGCAGATTTCCCTCACCCTGCAGTTAATGGCCACAGGTGACTGGATGCACCAAAACATTACAGACCAATTCCAACCCCTGTTGTGGGCTGGTTGCCCCCCTCCAGATCAGGTAGCCCAGGGCCCCATCCATGGCCTTGGGCACCTCAACGGATGGGGCACCCACAGCTCTGGGCAGCCTGTGACAGACCCCTACCATCCTCTTGGTGAAAAATTTCCCCCTGACATCTACTAGGACCTCCAAGTACTTCTCCACAGAGCTGCTCTCAGAGACTTCTTATTGCAGTCTGTGCGTATTTCTGGGATTTGCTTGACTCAAATGCAACACCTCACACTTGGCCTTGTTGAATCTCACTAGGACCTACCTCTCAAGTTTATTAGGGTCCCTTTGGATGACATCCCTTCCTTCTATTGTAGCGACTGCACCACTCAGCTTGGTGTCATCCACAAACTCGCTGAGGGTTCACTCAATCCCATCATCTGTATCACTGATTATGTTAAAGAGCACCAGTCCCAAGGTGAGCCCCTGAGGGACACCACTCCTCATTGACCTCCGCTTGGACATAGAGCCATGGCCACAACCCTCTGTCTGTGACCTCCCAACCAATTCCTTACCCACCAAATGGTCCACCCTTCAAATACATTTCTCTCCAACTTAGAGATAAGGATATGGTGTGGGACCATGTCAAAGGGATCACATCCAAGGGAACCAGGTCACCATGGCCCCACGTATCCCTTCCAGCCCTCATAACCCAGCAGCAAGCTTCACAAAGGTCACTTCAAGCACTGCTGGACCCCAGGTGTTCTTTGTCCTCATCTCCTCCATGGAGGACAAGCTGCAGCCAGGTGGTCACAACCACTCTAGCCAAGATGCTGGAAAAAAAAACCAGCCAAACACAAAGCCTATGTGGACAGATGGGGCTTGGCTCATTATTGTGCATGAAGCCAGAGTACTGGGTGGAAGTGCTGGGACTGCACACTCAAAAGCCCATCCTCTAGGATTTGCTCATCACTGGAACAGAGGAAACAGGGCTTGGGACTTCCTCCTGCAGTTCACTTTGTGACAATCCAGGGTGCCCCAAATTTGGTTAAATGCAAGAAGAGCGCAAACAGCATTGAGGTGGAGCAGCCTCATGAGGAGAATGGGACCCAGCATCCTTGCAAACACAATCTGGGCGTGCCCCATAAATTTACAAGTGGCCCACCAAAAGGGAAAGAGCCATTGCAGACGAGATGCAAGTCTTGGCATTCACAAGTCTAACTTGGCATCTAATCTATAGGATGGGAACGGGGGAACATAGCCTTGTTTGTGACTTGTGCCCAGGATTAGAGTGATAATGCTGGATTTAAAACGAGTTGATGGCAACACCACAAAAACATGAAGGGAAGCAGCCGTGCTTCAGCACCAATATGCAAAAAGCTGGCCACAAAACTGCCCTGGTGTGTAAAGTTCAGGCAATGGAGACAGAGAAGGAATAAATAACCCTTTTGATTTGACTGCCAGGAGAGTGGTGAAGAAGTGCACAGCTTTATATGGACCACGCAGAGCATCCTTTCCCCCAGGGCTCCTCCCTGAGCACCAAGCACCCAGTGCTCGATCCCATCCCAGCAGGGCAGTAGGGCTGGAGGTCCTGGTGCCACACACACACACAGCAGGAACTGCTCCATCCCTGTCCCCATTACCACAGCCCCGCATTGCCAGCTGCAGGGCGCGGGTGGGAAGCTGCGGGTGACTCAGCCAGCCGGAGGTGTGTGGGGCTGACTCAAAGCCTGGAGCGGGGGATCGTGCCAGTGCCAGTGGTCGCTGTGTAATGACGGGCCCACCCTCCGCTAAGGGAAAATTAAACAACAACAAAAGAGAGAAAACTAGCTGGGGAAAGTAATGCAGAGCACCTGCAGGGCTGAGCTCCAGGTGCAGACAGCTGTGAAAAGGGTGGGTGGGAGACACTGGCTCAGCTTCCCTCTCTGCCACCCATCCGCTCTCCTCTTCTGCATCCCAGGGAGAAAACTGTAAGTGTGGAGCCCAGCGGTAAGCGAAGCAAAGGGGTTCAGTGGAGGGATGGGGAGTGAAGAGGCACAGGCTGCCCAGAGATGTGTGAGTGCCCTATCCTTGCAGACAAGCAGGACGGGGCTTTGAGCACCTGATGGAGCTGTGAGTGTCCCTGTTCAGTGCAGGTAGTGGGGCCAGATGGTTTTTAAAGGTCCATTACAACTCAAACTATTCTAAGATTCTTATTGTAGCTCTCCATCACCCCTGGCTCCCGGGTAGCCGTGGGTTAACCCCCCGTGCCATGTCTCTCCCCACCGAGAGAAGCCCCCCTCGGCAACCACGCAAAGAAGGGACCCCGGGGGGATGCAGAGCCCGGGGGCACCGCGCAGCCCGGACCGGGGCGGTGCGCGAGGTGCGGCTGCCACCGTGCGGCCACCGCTCCCGGGGCTCCGCGGGCCGGGGGGGGATCCGCCGAGAGCTCCGTGCCCCAAACCCGGGGGGGGGGTGAGGAGCCGGGAAACACAGCCCCTCTCCCGGTGATTGTCCGGGACGTGGGGAGAGCGGGATTTGGGGTGTCGGTGGGACGGGACGGGTGCTGTCACCTGCCGCAGGTGAGCAGCTCCGGATCTCGGCTCTATCCCCGCTTCCCCCCCGCTCCTCCCGGCCTCGCATCGCATCCCTTCCGCCGCACCCCGTCGAGCTTTTACCTGCGATGACGGCCGGGTTGCTCTGTCCGCCCTCCGCCTTCACCCACAGCTCCAGGGTGAAACGCTCCCGCGGGATGTGAGGCAGCGCCTCCGGCCGCGCCGCCAGCGTCTCCCGGCCGCCGGCGAAGTACAGGGCGGGGAGCGGCCGGCCCCGGGGGGGGCTCGGCACCCGCGCCGCCCGGCCCCGCAGCCTGCCCTCAGCCTCGCCCCGCGGCTCCTCGCCGCCTCCCCCGGCTGCCCTCGGCCTCCGACCCCGCTGCCTCCCGGAATCCGGGGGGACTGCGGCTCCGAGTCCCCCCTGCGCCGCTCGGCCCGGGTACAGCCCGTAAGGATGGTGCGGGGGGGCCGCCCGGCGGCTCGGAGCCTCCAGCCCGCACGGCTGCGGGGGACCGAGGGGCCGGGGGTCTCCGCGGGTCAGGCTGATCGCCGTCAGCAGCAACGCTACCAAGGCAGCCCCGCGGCTCTGCATGGCCTCGGGGGGACGGGGGATCGGGGGGCGGCGGCCCCGGGACTGCGAGAGGCTCAGGGGGGCGGCGGGCGGCAGTCGGGGTAGCGCCGGGGCATCCTCCCCCGGTGCCGCTGCCCCCAACTTTTTCCCCGGCGCCGCTCTCCTCCCCTCTGCGGGCCCGGGAGGAGAAGGAGGAGGAGGGAGAGGAGGAGGAGGAGGAGGGGGAGGAAGAGGGCACGGCCGCGGAGACCCCTCTGCCTGCGGCGGGGCCGGAGCTCGCTGCCCGCCGACACCGGGAAGGAGGGAGCCGAGAGCTGCCTGCGGGAGCGGGAGATGCGCCCTTATCTAGAAAGCCCCGAGGCGCTCGGCTCCCCCCGCCGGGGAGGGGTTGGGGGGGGTGGGGGGGGCTGCCTTATTTAAAGATGATTATGTCCAATCTAATAAACCCCGAGCGGAGCATCGCCCTCCCCTCCCTCCCTCCGCCTTCCCGGGCGCTGCCCAGGGCGCAGCACCCCGCCGGGACCCGCTCCCCGGCTCGGCTCGGCACGGTTCGGTCCCGGGCTGGGAGCGGATCAGGGATGGGAGCGGTGCCGTGGCCGCACCTGCGGACACAGCTCGGTCTGCCCCGGCTGTCTGCCCCGCTCGCTCCTCTCCGCGCGTCGCCGAGCAGCCCGGCGTGTTTTTCTCTTTTCCTTTCTTCCTTTTTTTTCTCCCCCTCCTATCCCCCCCCACTTCTTTCTTTATTTTATTCTTTCTAAGATGAGCCGTGCCCACACTTCGTTCCAGTCGTGGCACCGTCTCTATCCTCCATCCCATCCCTCACCTGAGAGGAGGGGGCAATCCCCAGCCCTCCCCACCGAGAGCTCAGCGTACGCGATCCACGCAGCAGAAAGCCCCGGAGTGCCCCTCAACCAGCGATCTCCTCTCTTTTCCAATTTTTCCCTTTTTCCCCCTCCCTAAGCAACGGTCCCATCTGCTTGACACATGCAGAAAGGTGGGCTGGAGGCACGCTGGGGGAAAACACAGCTCCCCAGGACCCACCCTGGCACATCTTCACCCCCTCCGAGCACCACGCTGCCAAACCTCCCCTGAGAAACCCTTGGGATGGTCAGGTACATCTGAAAACCTCAGTGAGAAGATGAGTTCCTTTTTTTTTTTTCCCCTTTTATTATTATTATATATATATATTTTTCACTTCGAAGCACTATCTGTGGCGGTCAGTCTGAAGCAGGGCTGCCAGCAAGAGCTGGGAGGCCCCTTCCAGGGTACCGGCTTGCAAAGCAGCCAGGCAGGAGGGAAGGGATTGAAGCACGAGCAGCAGGAGCTGCATGCATAGGGCTTGTTTGCTTCCCATGGAGGTGGGGGAGTTGATGCTTTGGGCATTAAAAATAGCACTGGGAACACTGGAGGGGTGGCACAGAGCATCACCAGGACACAGGGATGCAAGGAGAGGAGGAGAGGATGTGTGTGGGGTGCATGAGGACAGGGAGATCTCGTGGAGGGGGAGCTCCACATTTCATGAGGATGGAGATGCTGCCCAGGGATGTGGGATGGACCTCAGCCCCCTTCCAGCACAAGGGGTCCCACCCGCTGCTGGTATGGTTCGGGGGCACGGCTACCCAGCGCTTGGCCCCACCACAGTGTTGTGCTAGGGCAAATGCCAGCGGTCCCTGCTCAAAGTGCGTGTGAGTTTAGGAATGAGCCAAGCTTCTGATAGCCCCGTCTACCAGGGGCTGATATCAGTGGGTCCCATGGGATGGCTTATTTTCAGTGGTGGTGACTTTATTTTAAGCGGTTATTCATCATCTTGCCACGCGCCCTGCTGTGCCAGCCAGCCGTCGCACCAGGAGCCTGCACCCCAGCAGCCCCAAAACATGTGTGCCAGTCCCATGAGGATGGATCCTCTGGGGCTGGAGCTGGCTCTGAAGCAACAAAACCCTCCAAAAAGGCACATTTCCTTCCACACACACACACAAAAAAGAGCGATCTTGCCTTATCAGTGCTCCTGTGTGATGGTTTCACTGGTGTAAGAAAATGGCAGGACCTAGGGGTAAGTTAAGGGAATAGGGACAGCAAGTGCTTTGCCAGCCTGCCAGCCACCACGAACGCTGGCACACAGAGGTTTTCTGGGCAAAACCCCAGGTGGCAGGAAATAGGGGGAATCATGGAATCATTAAAGTTGGACAAGACCACTAGTATCACCAAGCCCACCCACAATTCATCCCCACCATGCCCACTGACCATGTCCTCGGTGCCACACCTCCACAGCTCTTGGACACCTCCAGGGACAGTGACCCCACCACCTCGATGGGCAGCCTGGAAGAGCCATCCCCACTGCTCTTTGTCATCAGAAACTATGACTAAGTCCTTTTCCACTGGTGCTCACAAATGGGAGCAGGTGCCCCAGCCCCTCTTCCAGCTGCCCCTGCTCTGCAGTGCCATAAGGTAATGCAACTCCGCAGCCTCCCTCCAAGATGTCCAAGGAGTGGATGTGTCCCAGCTTGGAGCCAGGATGCTTTGACTGGGAATGCAGCAGCCCTGCATCTCGTGGGCAACCCTACATCTTGTTGGCAGCCCTGCTTTCTTTGGCATCCCTGCATCCCAGGGACACCCCTGCACCTCGGGAACATTTCCACATGTTGTGTTCATCACTGCATCCTGTGAACAACCATGCATTCTGCGGGCATCCCGTGGACATCCCTGCATCCCACAGGAATCTCAGCATCACATGGGCTTTCCTGCATTGTGCAGGCATCCCAGCATCCCATTTGGCACTCCAGCAGACAGTGCCTGGATGGAGATCCTCACCCCACAGAACCCAATGCAGGAGGGCAACTGTCTGCAGGTCCCTGCTGTGCACCCCTTGGACCCTCTAAGACCCATGTGTTTCCTAAGGTGAGGATGCTGGGGCAGGGACAAGGCTGCAGCCTGCTCCATGGGAGGTGAGAAGCAGCATTCCTGCTGGAGTTGAGGCCAAGCTGTGCCTCTCCCCACGCCTGTCAAGAGCCATCAGCAAAAGCCTTCCTCACCCTTTGCTCCTCCATAGGCAATCATTGGAGAGCCCGACATGGGAATAAAGGCACGGGGAGAAGGCAGCTTTTTGTTCACGGCCGGGCAGCCAAATCCTGTGGGCTTGCAGCAGCAAGCCTGATCAATCAAAGCAGCTCAGGGCACAGCCTGGTTCCCCCCTCCCTCCATCCCAGCTGTGGCATCTTTTCCCAAGCAGATTAGGAGTGTGTTCAGACAGCTGGGACCCCCGAGGTCAGAGACCCCGGCCCCGCATGCTGAAGGTTGGCTTGGGAACGCGGTGGTTTTCCTGCCTCCGGCTGCTCTGCAGATCAGCACTGGTGAGCAACCTGGCTAAAATTCTGGCATCAAACTTCCAGGTCCTCTTCTGCTGTGTGCCTTGTTTGAAAAGTGATGTATGTGACCCCAGCTCCTCTGAGCACAGAGCCAAATACTGAGCTTTAAATAATGAGGAGCAAGCAAGCAGGGCGCATCTCCATCACCCTGCACCTTCCATGTGCCGATGCTGGGGGGAAGCCCATGGGCTGAGCACTCATCAGTGTCTGAGCGAGCCCCCAGTACACACCATTGGCTCTCAGGCAGGAGGTGAGGATGTTGCAGACCCTCACACCTTGATGCAGGGGAGCTGCCCACACCCCAGCGCTTTGCACATTGCTGAGAACTCACAGGCTCTAAATTAAGACCATCGAGAGAACAGAGCACGACCTTTGCCAGATGGGGTGTCTCAGATATTGAAAGTGATTCTGACAGCTCACAAAGGGCAGAGACCTGGCTGCCTTTACGTAACACTGCTCCTCCAGCAGCCATGGAGGAGAATGTATGGAAAAATGAGGAGAGATGCTGGGACTGCCCCGCTGCTCTGCTCACTTGTATCCTGCTGCTGTTGGTCAGGAGTTTCTGCCCCATTAAATCCAGATTTTCAGATGTATTTCTGTGTCTCAGCAAGGCGGGAAGTGTCTGCTGAAGGGGAAAGATGGGAGGAGGAGGATGCTGTGTGGTTCACATGCCAACGGCAGAAGCACGGTCCCAAGGACATCAGCTCAGCCACCTGCACGAGGAGCATCTTAGCACAGACACAGTATGGGCTGGAACTCACATCCACACAGCTCTGAGCTCTGGCAGGAGCTCCAGGAGAGCACCAGGCTCACAGCAGGTAAGTCCAGGTGGAATAATGACACATCCTTGCTGCATTTCCAGTGTCCCTCTGCCAACACCGACATCTGCTCGCTGGTTCCCCTCGGATGTGTGGCTTGCAAGGTAGCATCTCTTCTCCAAATTAGCATGACTTTCCTTGCCTGAGTGTCAGTGTAATCACTTGCACAAACCTGCCACCTCCAGACAGCTTTTGCTCTGCCTTCTGTAGTTATGTACGTGTTTGTATTTGCCACTCGTTGGTGCTAGGAATTAGAGGTCCATCCTGAATGCTGCTCCAAAACACACCATCGTTTTGTCCAAGTTCATCACAAATCCAAGTGCACCATTGGTCCCCAGCCTCTGCAGCCAGGGATTGGGGTTTCTTCCACAAAGATCTTGCTGACAAGGACCATCCTTTACAAACAAGTGCCTTCCTGGATCCTATAACCCACTGCATGTTTGCAGCACTGGGTGTTCCTGCTAGTGCTCCCCAAAAAACCCACTGCATCACCGCCAGAGCACAACAGGGCCTCCCAGACCCCTGTAGACCCTCTTGCCTCCCCTTGAGCTTGCATCTTGACATCATGACCTTTGAGTGTGGACCTTCACCAGAGGGCAGCCGGAGGAGGTATTCCTGCATGCCCCTTGGACAGAGCGAGGGTGAGCTTGCTGTGCACATGCAACAGCCATAGGTAATGCTGTCTCCAGCTTCAAACCAATGAAGAAAAAGGGTGAATGTGGGCAATGTGCCTGCAGGGCTTGCTTTTTGTACATGATAAGATGGCACTTGCATGGCTTGGTGGGAGGCTGTTCTGGGGACATACCAAGAGGCATCCCCTGCAGAGAATAGCTGTAGGGCA